TTATTATTATTATATCTAATAATTATGTCGTAAATGTGAACAAATTCCTCCGATTAATTTTTGTTTTAATTTTTAATTTTATATATATTTTGAGTAAATCAGATGCAATATTGTGACGAATACTGAGAATTCCATTCTGTATTATAAGTACTGTTTTTGGAATAAAGTATATTATTATTATTATTATTAAGCATACACCTTCAGATTACTACTTTACATGTAAATCCTGTATGGAGAAAAAAGTATTTTGGAACTAAATAGGCCGAGAATTTTTGTACCATATGTTCGCAAATTGTCTGAAATAAAACTTTATTGTTATTATTATTAAAAAGGTTCTGTAATCCAACGAACGACAAGCGTTCAGGGACATTGGTGTTTTCTCACTCTGTGGTCACTGGCCAAAATCATGTGTTAGTTACTGTTTTAGGTTTAATTTTTTTCCCTTGAAACTAATCAATACAATTACAACACCACAAAATAATCAAAATGAAAATAAACTGAACATATATAAAACCTCATCACTGCCAGTTGATGAGTTGAATTATGACAACAAGATAGTCAATATAAATCAACAATCACACTACAAACAACAACAACAACACAAATGACTCCAAGATACTATTGAAGAGATAAAATGAAAAATTAATTAAATAAATCATCAAGTGATTACTGATCACCCTCTAAATGAACATTGATACAAATACGAACACACCATAGAATGCATGTGTGTGTGTCTGTGAACAAAAAGCATACACATACACATATATATACACCAAAATACACCCAACAACAACAACAACCGGATGAATAATAATTATACAGTGACTACACATAAGCTACATTATTGATGAACAGTCAAATCACTCTCTCACTACCTCGCTCGCTCGCTAGCTTATATGACACATTATGATATATGTAATTCACATTTGGATTGATGGGAAGGGAAGGAGGAGGTAGAGTAAATCCTGTCTCGTCAAAATGGATAAATATACTTCCCAACATGAATGTATATAAACACACACACAGATTTACAAAGTGAAAAACAATAGCGTAAAGGGTAGGGGATGAGACAACAGTGGTTGGTGGTTATGCTAATGATGGCAACAGTGTATGTTTACCTGTCCGAATACACGAGATTTTCGACGGATTGAATCACACTATATTATAGACAGATATATACATAAATGAATGATAAATTAAGTTAAAACAACAACAACAACAACAGAACTTTAACATTTGAAAGTAACTAAGATATACATGAAAGATTTCTTTTTCATATATCTGTTAGAATATATACATATGATGAAACATATGTACGTCCCGCCCCCCTCCAAAAAATACAGACAAAATTAATCTGAATTCAAAATTTGGCGAAGTTAAACTATACTTTGATTGAACACTAGGTAGGTAGTAAGTAACTAGTGTCATGTGTCTAGTCCTTCGCTTAGTGCTAACTGAATTCTATCAGTCAGCCAAGTTTGCAATGTGGCCACCATGGTAGGTGGCTGGTTATCACGATGCACGCTGAATTGTTATCATTAGATGAGTGCAGGCGATCGGTGGGAAGCCCTGTCTCACCCAAGTTTCGTGCTTGTTGGCACTCACCAGTTGTCAGCAAGGCGTATCTGCAACCCTGAAAAAACTCATGTCCCTTGTGAGATTCTGACCCCGGTCACCACCCAGTGTTGCAGTTAGAGACGCTACCACTGAGCTATTCGGGCTCACGATTAACCTCCTGTAGGATTGTATTAGATTCTTTGGTTAAAAACTAGGTAGTAAGTAATTAGTGACATGCGTCTAGTCCTTTGTTTGGTGTAGACTGAATTCTATCATAGTCAAGTTTGCGATGTGGTCGCCATGCTAAACATTATAGCAGCCTCTAGGACAATCAATTAGAGTTACAAGTGGTATAACTAAGTCGAATGAGTCTTCTGTTCAAAAATTGGTTAAATTAGTTCTAAGGAGACTAAATGTTTACTCACCGTGTGAATAATGGATTAATTTGACGTACTAAAACATGCATATACGGAAGAATCTCGACAGGATAACTGGTGTGGCGTGAACTATTGACAAGATTTGTAAGTAGTATATATATATCGACTACAAGTATACTGAACGGCAGAGGGAGGACGAAGAGAAGAAATGTAAGATTCTTGTGAAACAACATAGAAAACATGAAAAAAGGCGAAAGAAGCAACAAACGGGGATATGTGCGAATTATGATTTTTAATATAAGGTAGATGCATTTTGGCTATATCTGTACATCAAATTGGCCAATAAACAATCCCATGACCAAATAACTGCCGTATGTTCTGGCGTTACACTGGTCTTTGGAACGGACTGGAATTTTGGGATATGGTTAAACATCAAAATCAGAAATATGGACGATTCTCAGAACACAGTGAGCTATGAACTTTTATCGCTGCGTAACTCTGATCAGTTGATCAACAGATAGTGGTTAGGTAGATTGGGGTGGTCGATATACTTTAACTTCACCAAAAATTCAGCATTTTTATGCCACAATATGTTGCAGCAAAAAACGGCTTTATAAAAATTTTTAAGCATTACTCACTAACTGTTTCCGGCAAGTTTATTAACATATACATGATTTCACGATACATACCACGACCACTAGCCAATGTCATCATCAGTAAGTATGTTTCCTCACGCTCCTCAAACTTGGTGGATCCCCGCAGGTTACAACGTCTCTCATCAGAACTTCAGGCTATTTCATCCTGTAGTTACACACCACCCATGAGCACTAGATAGATTTTCAGAAGTCAGTTTGCGGGGATCTTATTAATTTCAGGACTGATTAATAAAATACTTCATTTAGACGACTGATGAAAGCCAGGGAGTATTGAACAGCTATTTTATCCTAGTGTGGGACCAGTGAGGACTAACACTCGCTGATAACACTGGCTGACGATGGCGCCATAAATTGATTAAAACTGACAGACCATTGGATTGCGTCCCAGTGGCTGTGAATGATCAATGAGCTCGTCATGTAAGCTGAAGGTCCTAGGTTCGACCCCTTGTGGGGTCATATATGCTTTCCACTGAAAAGTTTCAAACTTCCTGGTTTTTGATACTTGTCTAAATGAAATCACTTGTTGAGGGATCAAAGTTGAAATCAATAAAATTTCTGCAAACCAACACATGACATTATACACAATTTATGTGTAAATCTTGCTATGAATAACGTCTCAACATTTTGATAGGTCGTACTGCCAAGTTTAATACAAACAATGTCCGATGTTATTAGAAACTAATTTACACGAAAGTGAATTCTTAACATAGAACTTTGTAAAAGAGCTCAGCAATTCTCAAGTTGTCATACTTATAAAGGTAGAGAGAGAGAGAAGCAGAATACAAACAAACTATTGTAAACGGAAATATAAGGGCGAGAGAGGAAATAATTTATCACATACTTCTAAATGAAATTTCACCGTTTTGAGTGAGATTTCAGCACAGTCTCCTTCAGAAACTGAAATTGTTCAGATTACAACGAGAAATGTGATCTGCTTGATTTCCCCCCCCCACACACACACTTACACACAGCAATCAAGAAAGCAAAAGCATAAATGCATAATACTTGTATAATGCTATTGATTGGTTGAAATGAGTAGTCTAGATATCTCAATCACATCATCGGCTCTCTGAGTTGAGTTAAACCGGGGACGTAGCAGATGAATTCAGCCCCAAACGGGCGAAAACGGACGTCCAGTGTTTCGTTGTGTTTTCGATCTGGCTAACAAGTGCACTAAACCGGTTCATGTGAGTAGTATACACCTAATTATCTCAGTCAGTCAATGGGGATATAGCATCATGCATTTATCCTTCCAAATGAACTAAGGAGGTATGTGAACTCACTATAGGTAAAAATACATTCGTTAGTCGGAAGATTTAAAACAATGCTTAAAAAATTCTAAAGGTGGAAACACATGAGAAATATCACCTATTGATCGGAAAACAACACACGCACATACAAACACACACTATGCAGTGACAGTTGTATTGACAATAAAGTTACAATGGCAATAGTAGAGCAAGACGAAAACACTTGGGTTCATCTGAGAGAAACAAAAATGTGTAATGTGTAATGACTATAGTGGGTCATTAGTTAGTTTTGTATAGAAGTTCTTGTTACATGATGTATCGAATTATACTGATCAAAACAATATTCTGTATATATATATATATAAACAAAACAACAAAACGAATACCGTTCTATGCATTAACTTAAATTTCGAATGGATTTCACATAAAATTTGCGGTTACAATAATCTAATGAATAAGTTGTAGAAAATTAGTAAGCTTTCACTAAAAATGCACAAAATCATCTGTTAAAACATTACATATAGGATCCAAATAATGCCTGCTAATTACCTGTTACCATAGTAACTGGCTTACTTTAAATACATTTTAGAGTTTGAATTAAGTTAATAATGCGCTTACCATGTGGCAAGGAATATAACAAGTATATCATAACACAGTTAAGAAAGCATTACCAGGTGGCTGGCTAGCTGTCATCTACCCTTATATTCCTGATTAGTGTGAACCATCCCGCATAGTTGAGGCGATAAAACAATGTAAGCTACTTAACAACGAGTTGTAATTCCATGCAGATGGTGATGAGCTTCACCTATTGTGTGATCGCTACTACCTGACTGCCCAAACCTCGATAGGTCTAGTGGGGTTCGAACAAGTTACCCATGTGGTAGAAAATAGACTCCTGCATTAACCTACAAGCTACAAATAGTTATCCTTACCTCCGTAGACACCAGGAAATTCAAATATACAACCTACTGGATTAAGTGCACAAAAAATGACGATGTCTACATCTTGTATCAGGACATGTACATTAAAAATAGGCCATAAGTGTGTTACTGACTGACGGACTGACTGATGATGATAACAACCAGTGTGTCTGGTCCTGCGGGTGTTGATAAGAACCTACTGATGATTAGGCACACCATGTACTTATTTATCTAACTTACAGTGTTTCATTGCCAGTTGACATCTAACATGAAAAAATAATTACAAAACATTATTAAAATGTTCTTTAGCTGAGAACTGAAATAATGAAGTATATGCTAAGGTTAAGTTAAGATTTACGATTCACAATATTTTTCAAGTTCAAATTGACTATTACTTGAAAATGATAAACCTATAAAAATCAGATCACTGAAGATATAGAGCATAGAGCAAACAATAGCAGCTGATTCGACTCAGCATTTTTAAGAATGTCTACGACAAATCGAAGTAATTACGTGCCACTTCTGTCTGTCTATCTGTCTGGATTCAACACAGAACTTGGCACTGAAGTGCAGCAGTTCGAGTTGCCACGTCCCAAATAGCACATAAAGGTAGACAAGAGGATGAGTAATGGTAGAAAGGAATACGAAAGATCACAGAGACTTAGTTAATTCACAACTGCAAACTAGTCTCGATATTTAGCTAAACTGTCGGATACTTGTAAAACAACCACACTAAGTACAAAGATGTCGTTTGGGTGCATTACTTCGAAGCAATAGTTACTACCTACTACTGAAATTATACGACAGAGCCAAACATGCATTGAATGTATCATAGAGTTTGGTGAACTGATAAAATTGTAGGACATGATTGTGATAATTAGGAATATTAAACTGTAATCATGTATTAAAAAGATCTAATTCAGAGTACTGATATATATACCTACCTCTTTCTCCAAAATTCCTCTGACCTCCTCTCGAGTATCTACAAGACGACGTTTTTGTACATCATTAATTTTATGCAGTGTATTCACTCGACTAGCTAAATCATTCATTGATTTACCAAAATGATCCATTACACCTAAACATTCACGTAGGTAACTGTGGAAAAGTAGAAGAAATTTAATAGCAATAATGAAAATCTACAGAGTAAAATATGTCAATCAAGTAATAAAATAAATGAGGTTGTTTTCATTGATAGTGACCAACTAGCAGTGGAATCCGGGATGCGTATTTCGCAGAATTCTGACAGATTATCTCTCGATAGTTTCATTGATTAGGATCTTTGTGAACAAGAAGGTTAAATCAAATGACTCCACGATCTTATTTGAAACATTCATGTGGTTCACGCCTTCCTCGAAGTTAAATGAATCTTTCATGGTATGCACGGCTAGCCGTTGACTAATGGGTTCCAACTTCTCTGAAAGCCAACAAGCAACCTTAAGCTGAGACGAGTTGATCATTTTAAGTATAGGTCTCAGGGGGAATTAATGTGTCCTTAGAAGGCCACAATACATGCATGGCAATCATTGTAAGCATTGATGTCAGTCAGTTCCTTCTTTAGAAGATCTCTCAGTACGTTTGTGAAGCGTTTTTCAGCTGCATCTGTCTTATCTTCCTGTCAGTCGTTAACTTTAAACCTCAAAGGGTCATTCAACACACTTTTCATCTTTGCAGTTTAAGCTGTAGGCAGCTGATGAGAAGACAACGAAATAAATGATGGTACCATCTTATTCTGAGCAAACTGTTGTTCTAGCTTTATTTAATTTCATAAAGGAGAATATACATATGAAGTGCCACAACTATGTTGTATACATAAAAATGAATATTAATCTTCCACTACAAAACCGGTTTCGATAATGAGAATAATAAAAAAGACTCATATTTATAGTGTCTTCAATAAGGCTGAATAAATGACCCAAAGTTTACTCCGTGCCTTCGTGATAAGACACACATACCCGAATTGACACTTATGCTAATAGGTGTGATCACGAGTTAGAGAACCACTGAGAAACCTGGGAGTACTGGACGGCTGTTTTGTCCTAGTTTGGGACTCACCAGGGGTACGTACCCAGCGGGGTTTGAAGCCAGAACCTTCCGGTTATCAGGCGAGCTCGTGGACCATTCACCCGCTGTTACCCGGTCCAACGTCCCATGGATTCCAACTTCTGCTGATCCGAAATATACAGCACAACTTCCAGTCAATGTCATAAGCGAGTAATTGATCATCATCTCTTACCTGACTCGGTGGACCTCGTTGCCTATGAATTCCCACTAAAACTTCAGGTAACTTTGTGTATAGAGCCAGTCACCACTGAGTATCAGATAAAGTATTGGTTTGCAGGGATTTGACTCGAACCCAGTGGGTGCACAGTGATGGAGAGTCCCAAACTGGGACGAAACAGCTGTCCGGTATTGCCAGGTCTTCCAATGGTTCTCTAAATGATGTCAACTCGTGGTCTAACCTTTAACCCATCGAGTCATTGCAAACCAAAACTTGTTAACTTATGTTAATAAGCGCTATTTACACACTCCTTATTCACAGTGTGGATAAAAGACAATGTCAACTAACAGTATGTCATGATAGAATAATTATCAGCATTAATTCCTGACTGATTATTACCTTTTCAGTCATGGTCAACAACAAATTAAATAAATCAGTTAGAATGAACTTGGTGTTATTAATAGGAAAAAGCCATTAGCAAAACAAAATTTTCAATGTATTTCATTAGAAAATTATTTTATTACATTAAAGAAGGTTATTCACTCAAAATCCATTCCAAACCATCAATTTATTTCTCTACACAAATGAACACTGATTCATATAGGAGTTTGATTTGTTTATAATCTCTAGATTTGATTTAGCTGTAAGCAGACACATAGTTTATCAACTGCTTGTCCCATCTCTATCTTATAAATTTGACAAATTATCATTCAACTAACGTGATAACAGCATCAAACGTCAAATAACCCCCAACTACTACTTCCGTAACCTTGATAACTGAGTAGCAACTATAAGTCGACACAAACAGAGTGGTCTATAATTTAGTACATAAAAAATTGTATAGTGCAACTAACGTACAGTGTTCTTTACTATGTTCAACTTGTGCGTGGCCACCAAATAAAGTGAATTTAACACTAACCTGTTTAGATTAGTTCTGTCCTATAAGTAGTGGCTACAGGGCGGGAAGGGGGGTAGGATAAGTGAGTCTCACTTGAATTTGAGAATCATACCCATCTCCTAGGTCGGTCGGTCGACATAGAACTTTGCACATATGTGCGGCAGTTCAAATCGCCACAATCCATGTAGCACACAAAGAAAGAGAAGAAAGTAGGAGAAATGCATAATATAGACAGTAAACAGAGGTGTGAGACAAAGGAATAGTAATAACGAAGAACAAAACAGTTTCATTGGAAATCATAAGTCACAAGGAGTGGATGCATCTGCGCCACTGAGAACGATTTTGAGCCATGTCACCAATTGTTTCCAACCATTGGTTTTTACCATCTCGAGGACCCCAACCAGGAAGCCAGTCTACACCTTCCTACGTGGCTGGCTTAAACTAACTGTTGTAGATTTCATTGACTGGTGCCATGTTTTTGTTTGACCACCGCTAGCTCTTTTCCAGCCTGGCCCTATATCAGCTAACATTGCCCATTGTCAAAGAAGGCGATGACTAGGCATACGTAACACATGTTCTAACCATCTCAGTCGATGTAATTTCACAGTCTCGTCGACTGATTTCCCCTCCCACCTACCTAGTACTCGACAGACGCCTAACCTCAATATTGCTCACCTTATTATGCCACTTCATACGGGAGATAGAACGCAGACACCTATGATCGAAGACAGCTAATCTTTTCATGTCTTCCGCTCTCAATGGCCAGGTCTGGCTCACAGCCATAAAGGAGGACGGAGCGGACTGTTGAGCAGTACACACGCCCTTTGGTCGATAGCTAGTCGGATATCAAGTCTACGCCGGAGACAGCGTAAACTGGCATATGTGAAACTAGCCCTCTGTATTCGTGCTGAGATTTCGTCGGAGATCAACCCGTTGGTGCTGATGGTACTTCCCAAGTAATTGAAGCGGTCAACGTGCTCTACCACTTCACTTCCTATTTCTAATCTAGGGGTCGGTGAAGTCCAATCCTGCAGCATCATCTTACATTTTACAGGGGCGAATCGCATGCCAAACATTCTTAGATTGCAGCTCAAGGTGTTCAGTAGACTCTCCTAGAACCAAAATAAACTGCATGCAAAACAAACTTATGTTTCTGTGGTTAGAGAAGCCTAGTAATTGTGTTGCTCAAACATTTCTAGATATATATGTACACGATGCTTTTGAGTATTCACATAGTCACATATCACTACTGAAATAATTTACCGGATGATCTAAGGTAGATAAAATTCTACATATTTACAAAAGTTAAATAAAGAACTTACTGAGTTTGTACATAGAAGAAATCAATTAAATGCTGCAATAGATCAGCGCTACGTTTCGCTTTCAATTCGTTCACTTTGATTAAATACTGAAATATAGAGTAAAACAGAAAATGTCAAGGGCCTGATCAGCGATTAAAGTTTACACATTATATGAACACAGTACAGTAGAGAATACCTGTAGTTTAATTCATGAAGTCAGTGAACGCATCACATATTCTTTTAACAACAAGAAACCCTACCAAAATGGAAATAAATATCCAAAGTAATTACAATTAAGACACACCACCTTTAGTTGCGATGACTGACTGTGACAGCTACGATAGAAGTACAGTGATTTTATCAGAATGCATCAGTGATTAACACAGAGTTAAATTACAAATCACTGGTTAGGGTTGTGAAGTTTTTCGGTACCAGTTTCACAAATATTATACACTAAACAGTGTAGTTTAGTGCTTTTCATTATAACCTGAACTCTACTTCACATTCCCCAAACAATAAATGCTGATCAGCTAAGAACTGAAAATCACACTCAAATATAAACAACATGTATAATCTACATATAGACTGCATACATAACTGTTTTTACAGTTAGTCATATCAGTCCTAATCGTTTATTAACCATAAAAATGTTATTGTAAATAAAGAAACAGACAATTATCATTTTGTAAAAATTTATGACATTGTGGTCTGTGTAAACGGTTGGATAATGAATAAACTGAATTCACTCAAGTATATATATATATACATATATATATGTACCCGAAAAATTATGCTTTACAGTATACGACAAAATACTCAGGAATAATCGTGAAAAC